GCTGAGAAGGGACAGTGTTGACATGTCGTGGGGTTAACCATTGTCATAGGGCAATGTGTGTACTGTTTAATGAGAAACGATTTGTTCTGCAAACCTTCATCTGAGGTATAAAAAAAAAAAATTACCTATGTGAGATCAAATTGACAACAGCAACTCAAAAGGTTTGATGGGAAGCCTAGGGGGCACTGAGTTGAAGATAACGGTGATGAAATAATTTGGAAAAGGGTGGTGAGAATAGCAGCACAACTGGAAGAATGTAATCGATGTCACTGAATTCTACATGTAGAAACTTTTGAAAGGGTGCAACTTTGGCTGTGTGTATTTTCACCAAAAAAAAGGTCCTCCAAGGTCGAGAAGGGAGAGTGTTAACATGTTGTGGGGTTGTTGAACAATGTCATAAAACAATATGTGTACTGACTGTTTAATGGGAAACTATTCTGTAAACCATCTCAAGTACAATAAACAATATTAAAAAATCAAAAAAAAAACAATTAGCCCTGTAGTAGGGCAAAGAGTCCTAAGGATGAGGTTATTCAGGTACCAGCCATTCAGGTCTGCTGCAGGTATCCATCTGATTTGGTCAGGCTCTCCAACAGTTCATCTTGTCTTCACCCTTTCTGGCTTCTGATAAAATTTAACTGAGAGAAGATTATTCCCTTGCTCTGAACCTCACGAGGTATCAGCATAGCAAAACCTTTAAGGGACATTGGGTTCGGCCACTGTAATCTAGCAGTGCCTCCTCCTTAGTCCAGTCTTTCATACTTACAGCTTCTCAATTGTTATTGCAATAACACAGATTGGAGCCACCTGCCACAATAGCCAATTCTGAGACAGGTGAGGTGAGTAGCAAGAGTTTTATTATATATCAATATATAGGAGACAGAGGAGAATAGATTCCTCAAAAAACCCCACTCCCCTACTGGAGATTGGCCACAGGCTTTTATAGGGACAGGATTATGGGTCTTAGAAGTTTGTGTTAGTTCCCCCTTGAGGTGGTCACGTCCCAGATGAGTTGATCTTTTCTTGGGGGTTATCTGGTGACATCCTGGTTTTCTTGTCCCAAGATGGGTGCTTTGTTCAGTTTGTCATTCCTAGAGCATTCTCACTTGTTTTCCGCCCTCCAAGGAGGAACATCGGTGAATCTTAAACCTTTTGTAGAGACTGGAACAGGAGGGAAAAACAAGATCATGAGACCATGTGGGGGTCAGCAATGGGGAGTAATAATAGTGAGCCGGGCCTATGCAGCCTCTTCCAATCCCCCCTTTTACTGAAAGTTTCTCAATCTTGGGAAACAGGGTGTCGCTTCATTTCTGACTACTTCCTGCTGGTTAGGGGCATTGGCTGGGGTGAGAAACCTCCTGATATCGACTGGGGCCATAGGCAGGGGGTGAGTTAGAGTGGAAATTGGCTGCATCTTGGTGAATTAGCTGACATTCGACCTCAGAGCTTGAAAAAGGGGCGTCCCAACTTACCACGGTAAAAATTTTTCTAGCCTTGAGTATTTCTATTTCCTTTTGTTAATTTTCTCATAAAACGGAACACAAAAACAAACTAGAATAATCACTAACTATTCTTAAGGTTCCTTTTTCAGGCTCTTCTACGGCCCACTTAACTGGACCTACTGGAGTTAGGGCTGAGACTACAAACAGGAAGGTCAGAGTGTCCCCAGCTTGCAAGGTCAGTGTCCCCTTTGCCTGTAAGATCACCAGCACCTTTTCTGTCCAGGTCTCCTGAGAAAATAGAAAGATAGAGGGAAACAAGGTCAAAATCAATGTATTGTAAGCTTCTTGAACTTGTACTTCAGGCCCTGAATTGCAGTACAAGAGTACGATGGCTCTTTGTTTTCTGCTTCTTTCTCTTCTTCTGGCAGGGCTCCTTTTACTCTCAAGTGATGCACCCATGTGGCTGCTCCTGCTAATTTCAGAGATGAGTGGGTGGTCAGGAGAACTTCAAAAGGTCCCTCCCACTGTGCGGCCATTTGATCTTCCAGGGGTTGATTCTTCTAGGTTTTTAACAGGACCCAGTCTCCGATCTCTGTGTTGGAACCTGTGGAGAGGAGTGTCAGAAGGAAAAGACAAATGAGAAGAAGCATACTGATTAACAGTGTTTATGACAGCTCTCAGAGAACGGACCCAGTTGCCTTTCTCTACCTCGGTCATCACCAAGGTGGGGAAAGTCGACTTTTTCAGGAATGGTCTCCCATATATTAATTCGTAAGGGCTCAATATGAGCCCGCTTCAAGGGGCTACCTGGATTCTGAGCAGGGCAATGGGGAGAACTTGTATCTAAGTGGAGCTTGTCTCCTCGCAAAGTTTCGCCAAGGACTTTTTCAGAGTATGGTTCATCTTTCTGGTCTTTCCAGTCAACTGTGGTCTCCAGGCTGAGTGTAATTTCGAATTTATATCTAAAAACTTACTGACATCTTGGGTGACTGTTGCCATAAAAGCTCTCCTGTTGTCACTCTGTACTGAGATTGGAAGATCAAAACGGGGGATGATTTCTTTGAGTAACGCCTTGGTCACTTCTTGGGCTTGTTCAGTTCGACAAAGGAAAGCCTGCAACTACCCTGAGTAGGTGTCCACAAAAACCAGCAGATATTGAAAATTTCCAGGTGTCTGGGGCATTATACCACTGCCACCTGAAGGAGATCATTGATTGCCTAAAGGAGTATCAGGATTTCTGATATATATTTTATTTCTTTGTTGGCAGATGTCAGAAGTCTCCTTTCTTTCTACAAGGCACCATGTGAGTGAAGCACCAGATGGACATATTATCAGTATACACAGTTATGCGTCTTCCTGCTCCTAGTCACAGGTCCCGCCCAAGGGCTATGAGTTCAGCCTTTTGAGCTGAAGTGCTAGCAGGAAGTGGAGCTGTCTCTAAGACCTCAGTTCATGTCACCAACGCGTATCCTGCCTTGTGGCATCCTTCATATAGAAAGCTACTGTCATCTGTATACATTTCTATCTCTGGGTCAGTCAAGGGAACATCTCAGAGATCTGGTCTGCTAGAATAAACTTCTTCAATTATCCCTAGGTAGTCGTGTATTGGGGCATCTTCCAAAATAGGCAGCGATGTGGCGGGATTGAGGGAGGAGACAGCCTGCAGAACCACGTTTGAGTTGTCTAACAAGACTGCCTGATTTTTCCCATCCATCCTGCCGTGAGCCAGAAACCCCCCTCTTGTTCCAAAAGAGGCAAAACTGTTTGTGGTGTGTTTACCATTACCTTTTGTCCAAGGATGAATTTCTTGGCTTCCTGTAACACGTCACATGTTGCAGCCACGGCTCGAAGACAAGGGGGCCATCCCTGGGCCACGTTGTCCAGCTGTTTTGAAAAGTAGGCCACCGGTTGCCTGGCTGGTCCCAGTGTTTGAGTTAGTACCCCCAAAACAATTCCCTCTCTTACTATCAGTTCATTCAGTGGCAAATATAGGCTGAGACTCGGGGTGTGGAGGAATACAAAAGAAGGCTGTCATGGTTTGAATTATGTCCCCCAAAAAATGTGTGTATCAATTTGACTGGGCCATGATTCCCAGAATTGTGTGGTTGGCCTCCATTTTGTGATTGTAACTTTATGTTAAAGAGGATTAGAGTGGGATTGTAACACCACCTTTACCTAGGTCACATCCCTGATCCAATGTAAAGGGAGTTTCCCCGGGGTGTGGCCTGTACCATCTTTTATCTCTTGTAAGAGATAAAAGGAAAGGGAAGCAAGCAGAGAATTGGGGACCTCATACCATCAAGAAAGTAGTGCCAGGAGCAGAGCGTGTCCTTTGGACTGGGGTCCCTGTGCAGAGAAGCTCCTAGTCCGGGGGAACACTGATGAGGAGGCCGACAGAAAAAGCCTTCCCCTGGAGATGACGCCCTGAATTTGGACTTTCAGCCTACCTTGCTGTGAAGAAAGAAATTTCTCTTTGTTAAAGCCATCCACTTGTGGTATTTCTGTTATAGCAGCACTAGATAACTAAGACAAAGGCATTTTTTAAAGTCCAGTACTGAAAACCAAGCAAATTGACTGGACATAGTAACCAAGAGGGTATATGGGTTTGGCACAATCAGATGAATGTCCTCTACTACTTGGCTGATTTTCCTTAGGTCTTGAACAGACTGATACTCTCTTGTCCCCAGTTTCAACACTGGTAAGATAGGGGTGTTGTATGGAAAGTGGCAAAATTTCAAAAGTCCAGTTTTTATGTATCGATGCACCAATGGTGGGATCCCTTCCAAAGCTTCCTTACGGGGGGGATATTGCCTTTGGTTTATAATAGGTACTCCGGGTTTTAAAGTAATTTTAACCGGTGTGGCTGACTTGGCTCACCCAGGCCTTTCTTGTGTCCAGACCTCCGGATTCACCTTTTGTTGAATATGGAAAGGAATGCCACTAAGTGTCACTATTGCTTCTTGCAACAGTGTTGCCTGCAAGGTACATGCGTTTTCAGGTGGGATCTGTAGAAAATGGAAAGGAACAACTCTGCCATTCTATTTGGGTTACTACGTTAAGGAGGATTGTGATTCTTCCAATTATACAAGTCAGAGGCAGAGAAAGGAGTATGTACTAACATTGTTCCTCCTTCAGCTGGAATTTTTGTCAGAGGAAATTGCCCTGCCGGAGCCCCAGCAGTACACTCACCGAAAACAATACCCTAACCGGTGTGTGTAGGGGGTAGACCATACCCAATGAAGTCAGACTCATACTTCCCGATTCTCTTCCTTCGTCAGTTTCTCTCAAGCTGGTCAGACAAGAATCAGGCTTGGCCCTTTCTGTGGGGGATTCTGCCGTCATTCCTTGACCCAACCTGTCGGCTTCTACCACACCTTCTCTATATGGCGTGGGGAGCTGAAGCAGTTATCGGGGCTATTCCTTCTAAGAGGGGAACCTCTGGTGAGGATTCAGGAAGTACTTTTGCCTTCGGCTTTCCCTGGAAAAGAACCTAGTTAGAGGGATTTAAAGTTTGATAGATAAACATGAAAGCTTGAATATAGGGAAATTTGTCCTATTTTTTCCTACAAAACAAGTCAAGCTGAAAAATCATGCTGTAATCCAAAGACCCATTTTGGAGCCAATGTTTCTGGTCCCCCAGCTGGTACTCGGACCATACATTGTTATATAAGCATATCATTTTCTATTTTGTCATAGGCTCATAGGTATACCTCCACTAGTTTGCTAGAATGCAGCCTAGAGGAGATTTGGCTGGGATAGATAGGCCTCTCCCCATAATAGGTGTTTGTTTATGCATAAGCAGCATCAGTAACTGCTTTTCATGTGCCTCAACAGCAACTACATTTTGCAAAACCTCAGACTGAGTATTAATATAAATACAGCAACATTTATCTATTAAGGCACAAACTGTTTCTTGAGAGGCTAACAGGAAGGCTAATACTATTCTATTTTGTAAAATCATAGCTCAAATTTCAGATACTTCTCTGGTTATGACAGTTACAACTTTGCTAAGTTTACCAACAGTACTAATTCAAGAGTTACAATATCTAAACCCATTAGTTAGATAATTTAGGAGAAAGGAAAATGATTTCTTATATCCAGAAAGTAGGACCTTAAAACATCAGCAATATTCTCACATAAAACCAATAGCTTCCTTTCATTTATTCAGTCTTATGTAGTTAAATTCTGTTCCATGTGATTCTGGATCAGCAGCAGTGTGTGAACTCATCATCTTCTACATAAGAGTTCTGGAAATCTTGATAGAATTTAGTCACAGTCCTTTTCAAAAGTCCAACATAGTTTGTCTTTTTGTTGAGATACTTTGGTCAAATGTTTTCAGCAAATCAGTAAAGTAAAAACTTCTCTGCAGATGAAAAAACTTAATATGGTCATGATTAACTTATAAAAACAATACTCTTAATAGTGAAAGACCTGATAGAAGTTAACTACAGGCGCAACGTAAAGGCCAAATAAAACCAGTTAAAAAAATTTAGATAAAAATATTTCTAAATATAACTATTAACTGAATTTTTAAAGAGCTTTAGATATAATACACAGTAATCTTGAGACAAAATACCATATAGTCATGCTATATTAAGAATATACCAAGTCTCTAAATATCCGAGTAGTAATAGAAAGAGCGTCATAGGTAAACGATGTGAATTTTTCAGTTAAACTACTGGCTTTGATTATGCAAGATTCAAAAATAAATTTGTGACCAAGTTAACAATAAAGAGATAATAATAACATTATTACATAATATTATGTATTTGCTGTCTAATACCAGGCAAAAACATAAGAGGAAATACTAACATCTAAATTTTAACCCAACGAGAATCAGGCATGTCTCCTGATTTTGACAATACTTTCCGTGTAATTTATAACATGTTAAATAAACCTTTTTAGCACTTTTCCTTTATGAAAAATATTTTTGTGGCTTTTCATGAAGTTTCAGCGTTGTCAGGAGTTGATTATAGGTCACTGTGAAACAATACATAAGTTATTTAACCAAAGATCTTAAAGGTAAAAAAAAAAACCTTAGCTTTTTTTTCCTTCCTCTAAAGCCACATGGCTTGGTTTTTGACTCAGGAATCTTATTCTAATGAGAAACCGAACCTTTGTCTTTGAGGCAGATTACACAAAGAATAAATTGACCCTTCACCTCAGAAATCAAACAAAATTTTGTTATTTTAACAGCAAGAAACTCAACTCTTTGTTTTATATGCTATTTAACATTAAAGCTCGTAAAAATGTCATAAATTATAAATTAAACCGTTAAACTTTAGTCAGACAGATAAAACTTCCGACCATATCAAATAAATTTCTTTTTCAATAAACCTCTTAAATGTTGTCTTTGTTGCGTACGTCTTATAGTGCATTCTTTTAAAATGGCACAAATGAACACACTCATTGGCAGACTTAAACATACACATATGTTCCTCTTCTTGTGGCAGAAAAAGCCAAAGTATATAAGCTTAAGTTATGACAAATATCTATTCTCTCAATTTAATATCAATAAGTTACATAACATGTCTTGGGAACTATTTTAAGCCTGCATATAATGAAACAACTGTTGTTGAAAGAAAGTCTGTTTGAATATTCTAACTTTCGTTTAACTTTTACTATTTCTCATATTTTTCCCAACCCAATTCTAGCCCTTAAAGATTTTATTAACTGGCTTTGGAAATCGCAAAGTCTCTGCACAGTTGACCAATTCATTGATATAGATATAACCTTAAGTCTCTGGCTACTGCTAGAAACATTTTTCCAGGCCATTTCAGGTGTGTCTCATTGTGATTTCTTTTTTCTTTTTGACTTCTTACAGTTCCCCTATAATAGAGACAACTTGTTTACAGTTCTTTTATGACTGGGATCCACTCAATTTCTGATAACCATAGCAAAGCAGCAATTTTTCTAATCTTTTGTCTTAAAAGGGTCTCCACCTAGTTGGAAAAGGTCTTTTAAAAGCTTCCCTGGAGCTACATGACCTTGGAGAATAGGGGCTGGGGGCTGAAAAGGCCTGATCTTGCCCCGCCCTCACTCTCTTGACTCGCGGAAGACATTAATATATGTTTAAGTTGACCTAGGCAAAAGGTAACTAACTTCTTTCTTTTTTACTATTTTGGAACTGTTACTTTTAGGATAAAATTACTCCTTTTCCTTTAATAAAACACATTTCATATGATATTTAGCTTAGGTTACTTCCTATTCCCAACCTTGGAGATGTTTTTCTCAGGACTGAAAAAAAACCGGAACCAAAAATATTTGCAAATCTGCTGACAGGTTTTATACAGGTAAGGGTTAACGTGATGGGGCTTCACAGGGACAAGTGCACATAAATAACAGTAAACAAACACAAAACATGATCCCACTGAGACAACGAAGGTGATTTCGGCAGCCTCAACCTCTCAGACAACCCCCACCAGGTTACAGAGGTGATCTTGGGACGCTTAACCTCCCAGACAATCCCCAAGGAATCTGCATGCTACACACTATGAACAGACAAAAACCTTGAAAGAAATGACAGATAATCGTGGCAGCCTCAACCTCTCAGACAATCTTTTCGGGTGACAGAGATGATTTTTGCAGCTTCAACCTCCCAGACAATCCCAGGAGCATTCACACACCCTAGAACCAAGACTCTAGAGTCACCAGGAGTCCCTTCTTGCGAGCCTACTTAAGGGGTCGGTCATCTGAGGCACCTCTCACCCCAGAAACTATGGGCTCAGGTCCTGCTCTGGACCCCTCAGGCCTGTCCTATCCACCCCGGCCCTGAGTGCAACAGGGAGAGGAGTCACAGACTCACGTTGGGATCCCTCCTATGCAGGTCTTACTTTCATTCACCCACCTCTTCTGGCACAGTTGGGGACTGGTGGTGCTGTGGCAGACCCAGGTCTGGCTGATAGTCTCCACAGAGGCAAATGAAACCTCTCGTGGCCGCTTATTGGGAGAACTGTCAATCAGCCCCAGGCCCTGCCCCAGGGCCGCAGCGTCTCAAGCAGCTGGAATGCCCCGTATGGGCCACCAAATTTGTTATTGCAATAACACGATTGCAGTCACATGCCGCAATACCCAATTCTGAGATGGGTGAGGTGAGTAGCAAGAGTTTTATTATTTATCAATATATAGAAGACAGAGGGGAATAGATCCCTCAAAAAAACCCATCTCCCCAACTGGAGATGGGCCAAAGACTTTTATAGGGACAGGATTATGGGTCTTAGAAGTTTGTGTTAGTTCCCCCTTTTTTTGAGGGGGAAGTTTTGAGGTGGTCACGTCCCAGATGAGTTAATCTTTTCTTGGGGGTTATCTGGTGACATCCTGGTTTTCTTGTCCCAGGATGGATGCGTTGTTCG